TTCCATTTGAACTAGAACTTTGAGTTCGAGTTCGATTCGAATAAAAAATTTATAAGTTTGAGCTCGATTTTGAGAAAAAATATTTTATAAAAATAAAAATTATATATAAAAATATTTTTATTTGATATTTATAAAATTAAGAATTATAATATTTTATATATATATATATATATATCGAGCCAGTTTGCGAGTCTCATGAGCCAAGCTCTAATATGGTCGAATTTAGCTCATTTAATAATCAAGCCAATGAATTAGGCTCGAGCTCCATTAAAACCAAGCGAAATCAAACTTTTCACAAACCGAACTCAAACAGCTCATAAAATGCTTGGCTTATTGCCACCCCTACCTGCAGGGAGGGAAAGAATATAAAACTGCAGGTATCTGGTGGTGGTTTATTACAAACTTATAGACTATTTGATAACAGTTTGAAATTGCACCTGCATCACTCATTGATTTGTCTTTTTGGTGATAAAACAATTAATTAAAATAACATATTCATGGGTACTATAATATACTCAATTTCAGTTTTCGCTGTTATCAAACAGCGCCTCAACTCTATCTCTCTCTCATTTTATATCAAACCAAACCAGCCAAATCTACTCAATTTCAGTTTTAGCTGTTGTCTAACAGCGCTTCAACTTTATGCGTCTCTCTCTCTTATTTTCTATCAAACCAAATCAATCAAATGAAATTAATCAATATTCAGAAAATCTTAAAAATAAAAATGATAGATGATTGCGTCTTTTAACTTGCTAAAACAAATACGTAGGAGTGTCCATAAAAAAGAAAATCGAAAAACGAATCAGACCAAGAAAACTAAATTGAAAAATGTGGTTAATTGAACCAATCGGTATATATATATATATATATATATATATATTTAATATATGTTACATATTTTCTTTATATTATATATAAATAAATATGTATTGTATACACATATAATCTGTTTATAATATATTATATATTTTTATAATATTTATAATATATATTATATTATAAATATAAAAAATCAAAAAATCGAAGAACTGAACTGGTCAAAAGTCAAAACCAATAAACTGGTTAATTGATGGTATCAGGTCAGAGAAATCGAAAAACCAATAGGACCGATTCAGTTTAAAATTTTTGGCTATAATTTGATTAACCAAAACCTGGACACCCCTACAAATAAGGGTATTATAGTTGCGGACATTGTTGAAAAGGTGATGAATTATAAGATGGAGGGGCTTAAATAGTTGGGATACACTAAAAATGACTTGAATGAAAGTAATAAAACATTATTTAATCAACAATGGATATGAGATTTAAACGACGACCGTGGGGGAATTGTGGTATAGAATCAATGATGAATTGGAGAGACAGGAAATCGCGATTATTTTGATAGGCACTCTCCGATTATGCCTTGTTTCTGCTTGTGTTTTCTTCTTGTTTCTAAGGCAGTAGACAAGGCAGACATTTCTTAATCTTGGAATTTGAAAAAGGGGGAAAAACAAAACAACTACAAAGCCCCTTTTGCTTTTGATAATCAGACCCCATGGGTTTTGGACTTTGGAGTGGAGCGGTGAATGCAAATCCCACATCAAAATTCAAAAGATTCTAGCTCTTGAAGCCGAAGCCGAGTTCACATCTCATCTCCGCCCTACAACTACAAGGAGAGCCGCCCTTGCCGCCCCACAATGCCACACAGTACATTCCCGCCGTGTATTGGGAACATCTCTCAATRATAGTACTAATGCTGTTCTCGATACACGGTGGAGATGTGATCTCCTTGAAGCGACCCCACCCACCACTAATGGGTCTGGGCTCTTGGGAGAGCACCCTTTCTGAATCATGACGCCTTGATTCTTAGTTTACAATAATAAATTAATATGTCAGTGTGGACTGTGGATTATAGCCCAAAGGAATAATGATGTACATCGTATCATGTCCTTGAATCAAGTACACGTACATTCTACAAATGGGCACCCAGACCCAGCTAGTCCTTTGGATCGCTGTATACTCTGGAGTCTGGGCACAGTCTGGGCTTGGGCCCTTCTTGACTGGTCCAATGTCCCAATCCAAATTTATTTGTGTCATCGTTTATTGGAAAAAGTAACATTTATATTTACTCATTTTAACGTGGCCATTGATTGGCTAAGGCTCTCAAACTCACAACTGAGAGACATTGGGTGACAAAATGCCAAATGGGCCCTGGTTCAGTGGGTGCGTCCAACAAACAAGGATCAAACATGACCACGTGAGCTCCCATTAATTAAGCTGTTCTAAGTTCCAACATCAGGTTGTGTACTGCTAAATGATTGATCCCTTTCATGTCATTAATCCTGATGGAAGCTAGATTTCTTGCAACAGCAGCACTCTACAGAGTACTCCCTACAGTCATCAGAAATAATCTACTTGCTGATGGAGGCAAGACGGAGATGAGTTGGTTCAATGGTTCAATGCTTCATACTTCATACTTCCTAAGGATGAACTATGAACCAGGCTTATGCTTGGGCTTGGGCTTGCTTAAGAGATTGCTTTGTGCCTCACTTCCTATACCAGAATGATAATGTCTGGGTCTGGCTGGTGACTTTTTCGTATGTACGTGTTACGTGTAGAGATCCTTTAACTTGATTGGCTATCATTTACTGCATCTCTGCAGCTACGTAAGTAGAGCTAGCTCACTGCTGTCTGGGCCGGGCTGGGCAGTGGGCACCCACTTATCTGAATGACCAGAATGTGTGGGTCATTGGGTCCGTCAACACTCATGACCCAACACGTTAAAGGCTTAAAGCCGAGCAGTACGAAGATATTCTCCCTCCCCCCGCCCCACCCCCGCACTCTCTCTTTTATGCCATGCGGCCCATGCCGAGCAAAAGCGAGGTTTCTTTTGAGTTTGGTGGAGAAAAGAAAAGAGCAGAAGTTTGATAGAAAAAAAGATGGCAGGAGGCATTTCGGATGAATTGCTCGCTCTTTGGAGTTTGATCCCCACTTCACTCACTGTCTCCAAGATATATGACCACTTTCCCCTTTTGGGGGTGCAAGTTCGGTTCCTGATTTAAGATTTTAGTTCAGATTTTTTTTTTTTTTTTGGTCCAAAATCCATTCAAATTTTGATCATAAAAAACTCAACCCGAACCCGAACCCGAACCCGAACCCGATCGAGTTTCATTTCAATTAAGTGGCAACCTTTGCAACAAAAAGCTGGTATTGGTATTGCAGATTTGCAGCTGCAGGAAATTTTTGGCCCTCGGCTTGGACCAATGAATCCGTTTGATGAACAATGACATACTGAATAAGCACACTATCAACGTGTGACACTTGTCCTCTAAATGAATGTGCTTAGATTGACTGAACAGTTGGATGGGAAGGCACAGTTGGGAAATAAGTAGAGGTGTAAAGTGGGTCGTGCTGGTCTCCCCGGTGAAAAATTTGGGGGTCGGCCCGGCACGACTCATGGCCTAGGCCCGTGCGGGCCTGTGTTGTGTCATGCCGTGCCGCGGGTCGGGTGGCCCGTGGGCCGAGCCTTATTAATATACTTAAAATTTTAATTTTGTATGAATTTTGTGTATAAAAATTGCTTATATATACAATAACTAAATAAATTAGTATAATAAAATTAAAAATATTTATTTTATTAATATATTATATACTATATATTATTATATAATTATAATTTATAAAATTATATATATATATATATATATAATATATGGGCCGTGCCGGCCAGTGGACCTAAAACCCCAGGCCCAATACGGCCTGACACGGCCCGATTTACACCTCTARAAATAAATATCACGCTCACACACTGGGACTGTGGGATTCTTTGGCAAATCAGAAATCTGGCAGGTTGTCATTTTCATACTCTATTGTAATGGAGAACTGTGAACCTAATGGATCAATGGGTTTTTTTAGATATTACTTAAATCCTTTGTTTTCTTTGGTTTCTCATGTTTTAAGACTAACTAATATAATATATTCTGTTGAAACTTGAAAGCAACCCCTTGATTGAAAGGGAAAAAAAAAGGGAAACCAAACAACATTCAATGTATGGTGGATTATATATTCATTGTTCCCTTGATAACATCGAGGAGATGGAGCCCTGATTCTTTGTAAAGTGAAAATCAATTCTTAAAAATGGAGTTTTGTGTTTCAACACCCAACAACATCCAACACATGCAGGAAGAAAGAGCCATGTATAAAAAGACTAAACATAAAGAGGATGCCATTACTAGCGTTATTCTGTTGAACTAACAGACCAACATAATAAATAGGAAGGCCGGGTGTTAAGGGTTTCAACTTTCAAATGGAAGACTGAGACCCACTTCACCTCGTTTTTATGAGATCGGTTTCTATCCACACCGCTCTAACAGCCTTTTACAACCTTGTATTAGGAATATCTCCCCATGAGATTGGTTTCTATCGGTTTTAAAGGCTGTTCGAATAGGCTTTGCCCTGATTAAAGCCGGACTCGTTTTTTTAATCAGCATCACTAACACTCCATGATGATATTTTGGTCTCCCACTCACTGTGATGTGTGCTGCCTGTGACTGTGAGAGAGAATGTTGATTCAAATCAGTTTGTATGAATGTGTGCAAGTAAAAGAGACAAATGAAAGCATCTTCTCTTTTCTTTATCATTATCAAAAAGCCCCCTCATGTGTTTTGTAGAAGAGTTTTGTTTGGTTTATAAGAAAAAAAATTTTTTCTTTTCTTTTTTAAAACAAAAGTAGCTGTTACCCTGTTACCAGTTTGTGGGTCCATTCCATGATCTATCCACCCATTCTGCACTTTACACTTAGTTTTATTATATTTTTATTTTTATATAGTCTCTAAATTTAAATAATAAATAATAAATTTAGAAAAAAATCATTTTATGGATGGGTGATGGGCCTCACTTCACTTTCTTAGGCCAACCAAATTAAGATTCTTCTCATTTTCTGGACAACCAAACGTGGTAATTTGCCGGGAGTAAATGTATAAACTGTATATATAGTTATATACAACCAGCCAAACAGTTCTTCTGTTCCGATTCCTTCCTCACTCGTCATCCCATTCCGAGTTCCGACCCTTTCAGCCTTTCGGTTTTAGCCGACAAAACTAACAGAGCGAGCGAGGGAGAGAGAGAGAGAGGGAGAGAGAGAGAAAAGAAAGCTAATATGTATCCTATACAGTAAAAGAAGAAAAAAAAAAAAGGAAAGCACGTATCTGTAACATCAGCTGAACCGTTACCGTACACATCACTAATTGCAGAAGCTCTATGTATTTACCAATCACCCGCATTCTCGTTTTTCGTCTTCAAGTTTAGTCTGAACTGCTCTGTAACAGTACTAGTACTACTACTACTACTTCCCTTTGCTCTTAGGGTTAGGAGTTAGGACTAGGGTTTCTTCTCATAATGTAAAACCCTAGCTAGGGTTTGAGGGTTTTGTTCTCTCTCTATCTCGAAGATTCGGGTGAATAAATTCTGGAGCCATTGGATGGGAAACTGCTGCAGATCTCCCGCTGCAGTTGCGAGAGAGGACGTTAAATCGAATTACACTGATTATGGCCGGAAAGAAAGAGGTGGCGGTGACTCTGGCGGGAAGAAGACCATCACTGTCTTGAATGACGTCCCAAAAGAGGGGATCGAGGAGAAGTACGTGGTCGACAGGGAATTAGGACGCGGAGAGTTTGGTGTTACTTACCTATGCATTGATCGCAATACCAGAGAGCTTTTGGCTTGTAAATCGATTTCCAAGAGAAAGCTCCGGACGGTTGTGGATGTTGAGGATGTGAGGCGAGAGGTGGCCATTATGAAGCATTTGCCCAAGAATTCGAGCATTGTGAGTTTGAAGGAGGCTTGTGAGGATGATAATGCGGTTCATTTAGTGATGGAGTTGTGTGAGGGAGGGGAATTATTTGATCGGATCGTAGCTCGTGGTCACTATACCGAGAGGGCAGCTGCTGCCGTCACTCGGACCATTGTGGAGGTTGTTCAGCTCTGTCACAAGCATGGAGTGATCCACAGAGACTTAAAGCCAGAGAACTTTCTCTTTGCGAATAAGAAGGAGAATTCACCTCTCAAGGCCATTGATTTTGGCTTGTCTATATTCTTCAAGCCAGGTGATTCTTTGAGCTACACGTGCCTGCCTATATTTGGCTSTATCACATTCTGTGTATATATATTTATACTTTCATGACATAGAAACTTAAGGAACCGAGTTCCTAACATACTGAAATGTCCACTCATTCCCATTTTTCTGCCACTACTGCTGCATATGTAAGATTATGGCTGCATAAGGTTGGTCTGAATCGAATTAACACTGCTTTCTTTACTGCTTATTATATCATAGAATCTTCTTATTAGTTTTCTTGTCCGTTTTTTTTTTTTTGACAAATTAGATGATTCACGCAGAGAATAGTTGGAATGCAGAAGCATAGGATGGAAGCAGAGCCTTTGTTTTTAATGGTAGAGTCAACAAAGAGACAAAATACACTAGTATCATTCCAAATCTAGCAGTATGTAGAGAATGTCAAAGAAATCACGAATATGTGCAAGTAATATCATGTGATTTTTGCCCTAATGTTGGTATATTCCCAATTTCCATCCGGTGCACTTGTAATCTGGGTAGCAGTCGACCATAAGATACCATTTGCAAAGGTGGAATGCATTAATCTGGTTTCTAGCATCTGGTTAAGCCATCCTGTGGGGATGCTTTCATTCTCATGTGTCTGTTCATTCTGTTCATTGCTGTGTTCATAGTGATGTTGAATTGAACTTTAATGGAGGAGTAATTTCTTGCTTTAGTCTTTCTTATGTGTTGGTGGTTCTTTAAGGTCTTCCTTCCTTAAGGATTGATCAGAACAGTCTATAGTGGGCAGAATCATCCATTTGGTTTGTTTCATACAACAAGACAAATACCACGAAGGAACGAAATCCATATCCTATTTTAACTAAATTGCAGCCCAGATAACTCAATTTGACCCACTAACTAGTCTTACTGCCTTAAACACATCATTTTGAATGTACAACCACCACAATTGTTCCCTACCAATTGCTTTTATTCTTCCTATCAAGTCGTAATAAGTTTGATTTGTTGCTGATTCCATTCTGCATCATGCACCCAAAGGAATGATGTAAGATTGTTGGGGATGATGAAGTTGAGCATGCCATTCAAGAACTGAGGTGTATAAGGTACCTAACCAATCCATCTGATGGCTAGAAGCTATGGTTGAAGAATCTTTAAGTGTCACTTCTATATGGTCTCATGAAGCTCTCTACTGAGTTATGATTACCTTACCTAGATACTTGTATATGACTAGCTTACCAGTGTTGGATGTATATCTACCCAATATGACATTACATACTGCATGGACCCTGTTACCCAAATATTGGTCCTAGCTAGCTGGGGTCTTGGGACTTGGGAGGGGAACATTAGTTTCTGCATAGACACTTCTATATACACTCAATAGCATTAACACTTTCAAAATATGTAAAACGGTACACCTTAACAAATCATACTATAAAAAGCCCTCATTGGTCATGGCCTCATGGGGACTTGATTCAGGCAAAACTCTTTGCAGTTTGTTATGGGCTGAGACTGAGATTAGCTGAACCTTTGAAATTTACAGACATGGTGCTGGAAAGGGATTTGAATTTTATTATGGGGGTTCACAAGAAATTTGCAGAGGTTCATAGAAATATAGGCACATTATGGGGAGAATCTAAAGGATGAATGGAGGGATGCTCATTGTATATAGATGGGTGTCAGATCCCCATCTATATAGGCACATTATCAGGATAGCCATACCCTTATTCATCCAGGATTTTAGGAAATTGGGTGTCAGATCCCCATTTCCTATATTTGTATCAGTATAGGTTATCTGTATATGAACATCATAGCTACTGAGAGAACTTTGAAACTTATTAACAGAGGAGGATGATTAGATTATGCTCTATGTAGGATTGAAAGGATTCATGGTATAATATTTTGTAATAGAAACATACTACTATATCAGGACTGTTTATACTTCATTCAAACCTGAAACTTTGATTGCATCAAATTAATTTTCTTTTAATAACGAAGAAGGAAAGCACCAGGCATCATTAATTATGTCATACATAATGAAATAAAGGTCCTAATAAAAAAGATATTTTATCACACAAAGGAAAATTAGGAAACTATCCATGATTACTAGGAAATATTTGAGCATTGGTTTTGTTTTAGTAGTCTATAATCACTTTATGTTCACTAAATTTGTTAAATTTTACTGAAACTTCATTAATCTGTGTGTGAATCATTCTGTTGTTATCATTTTATTCTTTATCTCTTAGTAGATACAGTGGAGTTGGTATTTAACACTTATATTATTTAAACTATAGGAGAGAGATTCTCTGAAATTGTTGGAAGTCCATGATTACTAGGAAATATTTGAGCATTGGTTTTGTTTTAGTAGTCTATAATCACTTTATGTTCACTAAAATTGTTAAAATTTACTGAAATTTCATTAATCTGTGTGTGAATCATTCTGTTGTTATCAGTTTATTCTTTATCTCTTAGTAGATACAGTGGAATTGGTATTTAACACTTGTTTAATTTAAACTATAGGAGAGAGATTCTCTGAAATTGTTGGAAGTCCATATTACATGGCTCCAGAAGTGCTCAAGCGGAACTATGGACCTGAAATAGATATATGGAGTGCAGGAGTCATTCTTTACATTTTACTCTGTGGAGTTCCTCCATTTTGGGCTGGTAAGGTTCTTTCCCAGTAGAAACTATACCATTTACCTCTTCTGTAAGTTTCTGGCTTTCTGCTTCATGCACCAGACTTTGTTGGATTTGTGACATGCTGGATTATTGCRTTTATTTGTTTTTCTCTTCTGTATTTGGTTATCTTTCTCTCTGTCAGCCTACTTTGAGCATAATATCTTCATCTTTTTATAGTGCTACTTGACAGTGTCTGTTTCCATAAAATGCAGAGTCAGAACAAGGGGTTGCACAGGCAATTCTTCGTGGTCTTATAGATTTTAAAAGGGATCCATGGCCAAATATTTCAGAGAGTGCAAAGAATCTGGTTCGACAGATGTTGGAGCCTGATCCAAAGCTTCGGCTAACTGCAAAGCAAGTGCTTGGTATTGCCTATCTCTTTTTCGCTACTATACATATTGACCCTGTTAGAAAGGAAATTAACTTCATAAAAAAGTTAAGACATAGTGCACATGTCTTGCAAACTTTCATGTACTAGATGGTGATATGGGCCAAATCTGGGGCATGTCTCATGGATTATGATGTTCCAGGTGTTGGGTTTCCTGCTTGAAATGTCTTGCCTAAAAAGGAGGCAAGTTGCATCTGAAGCACCAAAAAATCCAGCATTTTAAGGCACATGCCAATGCAAAACTGTATGTACTAATATAATTGTTTGGTTAAAATCTGTGGTATATGTCTCATGGATTTTGAGTCTCCAGGTCTTGGTTCCTTGCCTAAACTGTCTTGCTTAAAATAGAGAGAAGTTCCATCTACTGTGCCGAAATCCTCATATTGACAACTGATCCTCAACATATATTTGTTTGCTGCCATTCTAGTTAACTTCGTGGGCTTTCTATAAAAAATGATTTATCATTTTTTTTGAGCAAATATATAAAAAAAACTATTTATCTTCCAAAGAGAATCCATGCAGAAATCTGTATTGAAACTGCACAGGTGACAGCATGATCTCAGCTGCTCCTACCCCCTATGGTAACAATTTTCATGCTTATAGTATTGGTCTTGCCCGTTCCTTTGTCATTTTGTTTCTAGATTTATAAGCAGACCACTGTTTTATGCATATTTGCAGTTCATTTTTATTGTTAGTTTAATAGGGAAAATTACTTAAAACTTCTCCTGCACAGCTGTACTTTTTGAAATGGGCTGGAACCTCCCCTGTTTTCTAAAAATAGTCTTAAGCATCCCTATCACAGATCTCCCTTGAAAAGCAAATTAAAATGTGTAGTGACAAGACTCTTCCCATTAAATTACAAAAGATGTATGCAATTTGAATTCCAATTTCCAAAATTACCCTTATGCATCAGCACAACTTACGCTGTATCTAACTCACCAAAAGAAACCTTATTCACCCAATGTTGTTGGACATGGACTGGACCAAATGGTAGAACTATCAGAACCGGGATGTGGAAGCCAAATCTATTTTTTGTTAGCCTTGTTCTTAGAAATGTTGACTTTGGTTATGCTTACCCCTTTTATGTGTACTAATATGTGTTATGCCCTCTAATGTTTATTGTTGTAAGCTTTTTTCCACATAATATAGTTAGATATATTAATATAATCTAGAACCATTTCATTTTTTTTTGCTTTTTTTTTTCACATTTTTATTTGAACAAGTCAAACAGTTGAACAAGGTTGTCAATCCATTCAACCGTGAACCTAATTATTCTTGTCCAGTTCAAGTATAACAATAGTGTATTCATCAATATGACCAAAAAGGAATCCTTTACTGGAAGAGGAGCAGAGAGGTGATGTTTACTATTAACTCCCAGGTAAGATGAGGGCATCTTGGTTCAATAACATCTAAAATTGCAATGGATAGGGTGCTTTTGGGTTTATGAAAATTTGTAAAACTTATGTGATAGATACCCAAAGAAGGAGCTCTCTCTAATTAAATATATGTGATTAGAGATGTTTAAATAGGGGTGCAACTTGGGTGGCCCAATCCTAGCCCTTTTTTTTAGCAATAAAGTTTGGACCATTTCTCGATTTGTGTGTCATCCTTGTGCAGGGGCCATGCCATGCAAATCTTCTCCCTATCGTTCCAATTTTATCAAATGTCTCCAAAGAGGCGGCCCAATCCTAGCCCATAGGTACCTTGAGCCTGGCCTGATTAGCCTGACCTTAGTCTGTCCTGAGCCTGACCCGACTGCATATATTTTTGGGTTTATGAAAATTTGTAAAAATCATGTGATGGCATTCAATTGACTCATGTAATGCATGCATGTATTCATACAAAATATATAATGTTCCTTATATGATGGTTTAGATTATTGATATTAAATAGGTTGAGAGCCATTTATTAATATATTGGGCCCAATAGATATTCCTAAGCCTGACTGACCAACCCAAGCCTGGCCCAAGCTCAAGCCTGACCCAAATCAAATTGTAGTTTGATCTGGGCCGGGGTTGGGGCAGATCAGGCTTGACCTCAGGCTCGGGATGGGCTTGGGCCTTTGGCCCAAGTCTTAGAATTGGCTTGGGTTGATGATCTTGAATCTGGCCCAACCCACCCGAGTTGCACCCTTCTGAAAAGTAGGGGAAATTTCTGCCCATTTTGTGAAGTATAGGGAAAGTATAAATGATTTCCCTATTTTGTTATTGTAATTATCATTTATAGGTTTTCCCCTTTTTCAAGTCACCAAGCTACCTGATATTATCACTTTCATGCATACTTCCTAGTCAAGTGGTAAAAGTAGCTTATGCATCCACCCACTTATGTTATTGACCTCATTTTTTATCTTGTGTATGATGAATTAGGAATGGCAAAGAATTGCATGTGCAGCTCTGGAAATGGAGATGGGGAATGGTAAAGAAAAGATGGTCTGCCAATGACTCAATAAAAACCTTCTTGGAAACAACTCTTGAACATGGTCTACGCTAGTAGTAGGGAAATTCATTCGTTGGAAATTCATAGGTTATTATTTATTATCAGAGTTGCAAAGAATCCTATTTGTGACTGGAGGAATGAAGTTTGGGTATTGTAGAGAAAACCAGATGGTCTGAAAATGATCCCCCCTCCCCCCCCCCCCCMAAAAAAAAAAGAAAAAAGAAAAAAAAAATCCCCCTTTTTACATATAGATATCTCAAGAATCTTTCAGAAAGGAAAGAGAACTTGTGCTGAACTTAAAAATCATCCCCCTTTTCTCTGAGGACATGCCAAAACATTTATTTTGACGTGTTTTGGAGAATAGTGTTATTGATGAATCTTTGGGTATTTCTGAGCTTAAATGCATTAACTAATGGAATTGCAGAATAGTGTTATTGATGAATGAATATTTAAGTGAATATCGGTGCTTCATGATTGTGGACCCATGTTTATAACCTTGTCCTTCATTTTGGAGAATAGAAACTGTAGAATACAATAGATAAACCATATAACTATGTGCCAAGTTAAGCTGTTTCAACTTCTAGGAGTCAATTTTATTTCACTAATATCGTTATCTATCAACTTTGTCATTTAAGACAATCAGGAGTTGTGAAGGACAAATAAAAGTTTTAAATATGAAGAATGACCACTGTGGACAAGATCCATTCTAGGATATGTAGATGCTTAGACCAATAGTATATTATGGGATATTTTTATTAGCTTTATGTTTGTTATTCTGCATTGTTCTTAACTTTATTCAACTTGTTGATATTATAAATGTATGAATATCTTTTTTGTAGCAAATATCTTGAACTATACATCTAGGAAGTTTCACTTGATGTGTCACTCAGCTTGGTAGAATATTCACACTTTTAGCATTTTGGTGAATTTTAAGCACTGGACCATTAGAACATGATGCATACCTTGTTCACTACCTACAGAACATCCTTGGATCCAAAATGCTAAAAAAGCTCCAAATGTTCCTCTTGGAGATGTTGTCAAGTCAAGGCTTAAGCAGTTTTCTATGATGAATAGGTTCAAGAGGAAAGCCTTAAGGGTTGGTTTGATCAGTTCATTATTCTTCTTTATTTCTTTGTTACTGGATTTTGTCCAAGAATTTTCTACTACTAAATAGGCACTGTCAAATAGGTTATTGCCGATCATTTGTCAATCGAAGAAGTTGAAGACATCAAAGAAATGTTCAAGAGGATTGACACTGATAATGATGGTGTTGTTTCAATTGAGGAACTGAAAACGGGACTTCTGAAGTTTGGCTCCCAGCTGGCAGAGTCTGAAGTGCAGATGCTTATTGAAGCTGTGAGTGTTTATGAACCCTAAAGCTTAACTTGTTTTGATCAGCAAAGTAAATTAATTTATTAATTTATTAAGTTACTGGTTAAAGTACAAAATTTTCAGCAATTGTAGTGACCCAACTTACAATAGATTACAACTTTGCCCGAAATAAAGTAAGTCTATCAGCTCCCTGTTTTGTTAGAATATCTGCCAAACCATTTGCTGCCTGCTTTTCCAAGCCAAAACTAGAATTGAACCTCTTTGCAAGTAGATCAATGTATCTGAAGGATAAATCTGAATTTCCAAGGTGCTGAGTTGATTTTCTTTGCCCAAGATATGATCAAGAGTGAATCTCCAATTTCCAGTTCTCTTGCTCCTATCTCCTGAATGGCTGAATCAAGTCTCCAAAGACAATTGGTCCTGAAAAAAGCGCCACTACTATTCCTTGATGATTTCTAAAAAGTCCCCCAATTCCTGCTCTCCTTGGATTACCAAAGAAGCTGCCATCAAAGTTCAGCTTTAGCTTATTTAGTCTTGGTGGTTTCCATTACATTCTTACACTTTCTCTATGTGTTTTTGTTTGTCCGCTTAATCCAATTCCTTAATGTGTCATTTGTGGAGAGTCTGGAGACATTCCTAAAGAGTTGTGATGTTTCTACCAAATGTGCAGATATGATTTTTATGGCTTCAATCACTTCCTCCTTTGATTCCGATGTTTCCACCCAATGTGCAGATCTGTTTTTTATGGCTTCAATGACTTACTCCTTTGATTCCGATCCAATTCCTTAATGTGTCATTTGTGGAGACATTCCTAAAGAGTTCTGGTGTTTCTACCCGATGTGCATATATGATTTTTATGGCTTCAATCACTTCCTCCTTTGAATTTGATGTTTCTACCCAACGTGCAGATCTGATTTTTATGGCTTCGATCACTTCCTCCTTTGACTTACTTTTCTCATTGAAAATCCTTTGATTTCTTTCTTCCTAGATAGTCCACTCAACCAAAGCTGCTTTTACTACCTTCCACAAACATCTTCTCCTTTTTTCTGTTGCCTTATGAAAGTGGAGCTAACAAACTCACTACATCCTGTGGGGGGCATCTGCAACCAAAGAAAGAGTAGAAGTATTCCCAAATGCAAGCATTACGAAGGACACGCACACGAGGAGAAAGGCATTTATTTGGCCTTCTTTTCTATAACATGTTATAGGTGTTTACCTTTTTTTTTTGTTTTTGATGAATGACAATGAATTTATTAATTCAGAAGCAGATTTAGAGTGAGTTCATACAACATCCCAGGGAGAGGTGCAAGATGCAACCCCTCCTTGAATCTTACAAGTAAACTAGGAAAGAAAAGCAAGAATCACAACTGAGCCCAAAACAATTCTTCCCTATTTACCCCTTGCTTGGCTAACACATCTGACAAAGTATTTGCTGATCTACCCACCCACTGCACAGTGAACAACATATTCCTTGTCAACCAACTAAATTTCTTCATTTCATTCTTGTAAAGCCACATAGCCTCTTTAGGATTTTTCAACCAACCCACCACCACTTTGGAATCCCCCTCGATTGTTAGGTGTTGTATCCCTAGCTGGTTTGCAAATTGCACCCCTTGTACAACAGCTAATAGTTCTGCCCTGATGGAGTCCCCAATTCC